ACAGAGATCCGCCTGCCTCTGCCTCTCGAGTGCTGGGATCAAAGGCGTGCAACACCACCGCCAGGCAAAAAATGACATCTTAATTATTTATAGGAACAGAAACTTGAAGTGAGATAGAAAGGTCTACAATGATTTGGTTCAGGACATGAAAGTCTCTGGGCCAGGGCTAATGAAAGAACGTTGGCTGACCTCCCTGTATTATTGTCCTTCTTCCAGGTCTGGGCTCTTCAGCTGAGCACTTCGTGTTTGTGCAGGATGAGACAGAGGATTCAGGCAATGACTTCCTCTCTGGTGAGAGCACAGACAGCAGCATTCCATGGTTCCTCCGGGTCCAGGAATTGGCCCATGACAGTTTGATTGCTGCTACTCGTGCACAGCTGGCAAAGAATGCAAAAACCAGCATCAATGGTGAGACTCCTTTGGCATTCTGTACAGAGGTTCGGGTAATTCGATAGCTAATACTCTTTTATTGATGAGAATGGAAGCCTATATTAAGTTGTCCTATTGTATAAAGTAATTTGGCTTTATCTTCCAAACCAATAAACTCATGTTTTAAAATTCCAACTTTTAAGTAATGGGCAGAGCATCTCTTAGAGAACAAGTAGGTCCTGGAGATGGTGGAACCTCAGTCCCAGCATTCATGAGGTTGAAGCAGAATGATTTATATAAACTCATTTATATAGAGCTCAAAGACGTTAAAATAGTTTTATCATTAATAAAAATACAACTATAAAGTTATTGTCTGACTTATACTGTTTTGCTAAAACTATTTTGTTATTTGTGGCAGTTTTGTTGATAAGCTGATTGTGCTAGCTATTTATCTCTTAAGTTTTTGTGTGTGTATGTGTATGTACACATACATGCATATGTAGGCTAGAGTACCTTCCTACTGCTGGGATTACACCGCACATGGCTGTTTACATTTCATAAGGGTTTTGGCCACCTGACTTACGTGACAAGCACTTTACCCCCTGAGCTGCTTTCTCAGTCTGTGGTGTTTCTTTTCAGCTTAGCATGTCTGTACGACTTCTTGTGCGCTGCTGGTCATTTTGGAATACCATCTCCAAATCATCAGTATCACCTGGCAGCTTTGAAGTGCAGCTGTCTTGGGTTGAGAAGTGGCTCAGCAGTTAAAGTGGATTGCTCCTTTCCAAAGGAGCTGTGTTTGGTTCCTAACATCCACATCAGGTGGACCATAACCTGTGACTCCTGTTCCAGGGGATCCCACACACTCCTCTGGTGTTTACAGGCACTGTACTTATGTGGCATATATGGAGACATACATGTTGCCCTTAAGAATCATTGGTGGTGTGAGAGCGGAGCTCTAGAGATGACTGGGCAGTTAGGATCACTGATTGCTCTTTCACAGGTCCTGAGTTCAGTTCCCAGCAACCACATGGTGGCTCAAAACCATCCTTAGTGAGATCTGGTGCCCTCTTCTGGTCTGACCTGCAGACAGAAATCTGTATACATAATAAGTAAATAAAATTTTTTCCCTTTTTTTTTTTTTTTTTTTTTTGGTTTTGGTTTTGATTTTGGTTTTGGTTTTTTCCGAGATAGGGTTTCTCTGTATTGCTTTGGAGCCTGTCCTGGAACTCACTCTGTAGACCACGATGGCCTTGAACTCAGAGATCCGCTTGCCTCTGCCTCTCGAGTGCTGGGATCAAAGGCATGTGCCACCAATGCCTGGTCAAGTAAATAAATCTTTAAAAAAAAATCATGGTGCACGCCTTTAATCCTAGCACTTGGGAGGCAGAGGCTGACAAATCTCTTTGAGTTTGAGACTAGCCTGGTCTATAGACCAAGTTCCAGGACTGCCAGGGCTGTTATAGAGAAACCTTGTCTCAGAAGGGGGATGGGGTGGGATCATGGATGGGTACATTTTAAACATCCCGCACCAGTCAAAACTTTCATTTATGTAATGTACCACTAGTTATTAGGTCTCTTTTGATTAGTTCTCTTTCTATATATTCTCATTAGCCTGTGATAATTAAGTTATTACCATATGTGTCAATATTATCACTAGCCAAGCCAAGATTAAACAAATTGTCAGTTCACAACTGTTTGGAGCTCTTGCTGATAATCAGGAATATATTTGTGGTTATTTTAATTACTGTTCATATAGAAACAAAAAGCTAAATAATACCTCAGAGAACTTAGGGTGCAGTGTGCGTGCCCTTTAGGGGTTAGAAGACAACTTTGTGGGAGTTGGGTCTCTTCCTACCATGTGTGTCCTAGAAATAAAACAAAACCTTAAAGTTTGGTAGCAAGAACTATTACCCACTGAGTTAGGTTTTTTTTGTTTTTTTTTTTACTACAGATGATTGTAAGCCATCACCACCATGTGGGTGCTGGGAATTGAACTCAGGACCTCTGGAAGAGCAGCCAATGCTCTTAACCACTGAGCCATCCCTCCACTCCCTCACCCAGTTATCTTGCTGGCCTTTAGTATTCTTTTTTTTTTAAGATTTTATTTATTTATTATGTATACAACATTCTGCTTCCATGTATATCTGCACACCAGAAGAGGGCACCAGATCTCATAACGAATGATTGTGAGCCACCATGTAGTTGCTGGGAATTGAACTCAGGCTCAGGACCTCTGGAAGAGCAGTCAGTGCTCTTAACCTCTGAGCCATCTCTCCAGCCCTGGTATTCTTAATGTATGTATAAAATTGAATGTACAAAGCTCTGGTTGTTTACTTGTGTCAGTTTCTAGATTAGCACAGGGTTTTTATAGACCTTTTGTTAGAAACTGATTAGCTGGATCTCAGAGGTTAATGGGAAATTTTATGTTATATATACTTTAGTCCTGGTTGAAGTTTAACTTTATTGATTAAATACATTGTAACAAATGGAGAGCAATATTATGAAAATAAATGTTAAAGTTAGCTAGCAGAAAGCATCCAAAATGATGTCCTGACATATGTCATAGAACAGTTAGATTTTTATTTAAATCAGAAACAAGCTTGTTTTACATGTCAATCCCAGCTCCCTCTCCCTCCCCTGCCCCCCACCAATGCCCTATTCCATCCCCTTTCTGCTCCCCAGGGAGGGTGAGGACTTCCATGGGGGGGGGGAATCTTCAGATTCTGTCATATCATTTGGAGCAGGGCCTAGGCCCTCCCCCATGTGCCTAAGCTGAGAGAGTATCCCTCTATGTGGAGAGAGCAATGGTTTTGTCTTCAAGTACATGATTTTTTTTTTATTTATTTGGTTTTTTGAGATAGGGTTTCTCCGTGTAGCCTTAGCTCTCCTGAAACTCACTCTGTAGACCAGGCTGGCCTCAAACTCACAGAGGTC